AATTGAGTTCCGATTTTACTTATGGTAATAGACCTCAGAATATGTTTGTCTATTTGAAGGACACTTTTGTTTTTATTTAATAAATTACTTGTTTATTGTTTTGATTCAAATGTGCTCATCATTCGTAACACTATATGATTAGTATTACATAAAATATTATTTCTAACGAATTAAGTGTAACTTAATAAAAAACAAGTACTAATCAAATATAAAATGGTTAATTCAAAAAGGAGATAAAGTAATCAAATACCTTAACTACACTATAATTTAATGTTTTCTATATCAACCATGTAGATTCTGCATCAAAATATATTATAAGAATCTTTTATTCTTTAAAACAACTTTACTTTAATAACTATTTAGATATTTGTATTTTTTGTTTTTATAATCAAAAAAGTTCAAATTAATAATCTCGGTAGAAAACAAATTATGAATAAGATTTTAAAATAATAATTCATAAATAAATAAAAATAAATTTTATTCAAATCGCTTTTTTATAAAATATTTAAAAACATTAAGTCATTTGTTTTAAAAATTTATATTTATTTTTTCAAACATTCAAATATTTTTGGTATTCTCTGTTTGCAATTAAAATATTGCTTTGAAATTAACATTTAGAGGCAAACAAACAAATACAATACTTTAATATAATTTCATTACAAATTAAACTTATTTTTTGCCCTGAACATTATAGGTGACTCCTGCGGGCGCAGAGCTGACCAGACCCGGCTCATTGCTCTGGACATTGGCACGGAATCCGTGGACATCATCTGCAATGTACTCCACAGTCCTGAATATGCCGGCTGCGTCCCGGTAAGAGTACGAGCCTTTGACAGCACCACTACCATCAGCTACTTCTTGACGACTCCATTGGGTGCCGTATTCGTCTACATGTGGTTTTAAGACACAAATTAATAATGTTGTAGTATATATACCTAAATTATACAAATCATACCTGCGGCATTGAAGCCAAACTGGTAGGGCTTCGGTCCCTCATCGACCAGAA